AATCCACTTTTCTCCATGAAAATTTTCATAAAATCATTGAGAGACAGGTAAGAAAATTATTTGGAGGGAAAATTCCTCAAACAGGTTTATACTACCCTGAAAAAATATTCAAAATAACAAAGAAGCACAGGAAAGAGTGAAAATAGACAAGAATTTTACTCTGATAAAAAAAAAAGAAGAAAAACACAGACACATTGATGTTATTTTTGTTATTTAGAAGAAGGAAATATTAAGACAAAATATATCAGTAATTGACAGATTTATAATTTTGCTGGTACTTCACAAAAGATGAGAACAGCAAGGAGAGAACATGTTGACCACTTGGTGGGGCAAGCTCGCCTCTCACTTGGTCGGCCAAACTTGCCTCTCACCTGTCCGCGATGTTTGAACCAGTTGATCCAGGACATATCCAACACATACCTTCCAGTAGAAGCTGTCAGGCCCAATTTTCATGAAAATGTCTCATAAAAAGATGTTTTCTATTTATATCTATACATGTATTCATAATAACATAACAACATTATATGCCTCTTGTGTTACAGTCCGTACAGATTTATCACATCACCATGGTAACAGGATTTCATTCTATTTATAGATTGTAATTACGTTCTGAACTGTTTGTTATTGTTAAAAAATTTTAAAGAGGTAAATTTTCATTGATTATCATTCAATGCATGCTATAAATTATATTGCCACTTCTAATACCGGGTTTTAATGATATATCAATTTATGTTAAGTTTGTGAACATTTCATAAAAGTCAAAGTTAAAGTCTCTTCAAAACATGAATATTTATAGAGTTGAAATGGAATATGATGTATGTTTTAATGTAATATCACAGATGATGGAGCTTGACACAAGTGGTATATCAGCAAAACTGTCCACAGAGACAGAACCAGATATTACATATGGATCATGGGTTGGTATATAGCACTATAAATAAGGCTTGTTTTTCTATTGTAACATTTTTCTGTCCAATAATCCTGCTGGTTCATAATCTAGGTTAAACTAGACTGAAGAATGACAATAATTCATTACTATTGGTTGCAAATATTGTCAAGATCTGGGGTAGGAGTAAAAAGATAATTTCTGAACAAATTAGATCAGAGGATAAAACAACAGGATGATAGCAGTATGATGAGGATCTAGAAAAGTCTTAGCATAATCCTGATCTCAATTCTGACCTTTTTAATTATCAAAGTGATAGAATTATGTGTCCTTGTTACTTAAAATCAGGGGGTGGGCTTATTAAAGAACAATGATAAGTTTTGTTTTTTCTTGTTTTACATCCGATAAACAGCCTGGATCATTTAAGGACATGCCATATTAGGGTGGTAGAGGAAAGCTAGAGTTCCGGGAGAAAACCTCCAACCTATGGCCAGTACCTGGTGACTGAACCATGAAGGCATCGAACCCGTTACCCAGAGGTTGAGCACTAGAGATAAAGACAATATGGCACCTTAACCACTCAAAAACTACCGTCCCCTTATTACAGGACAAAGATGTAACACTGGTATACTGTTGGGTTTATTGATGGACAGTAATGTACATCATTATTATTGGAGTCAAGGTTGTGACTGTGTTGACTATATAACCTTGAGTACATCTAACTTGGATTTCCTGCACAATAATCTTAAAACACAAATTTAGCAATATAACAAGTTTTCCAATTCACATCCTAATGACTCCTACTTCATTACCCCAAAATCAAATTACCGTAAATTAGGCTGTCATTTTTTGAGGAATTCTATATTTCATTGATTTTGAAGCTGGAATAATATTGTGAAAAAACAATGCTTGTACTTTTTTCTAAGATGACTGTTTGAACTTTTTTTTTGTCCAATAAAAGACCATGTTTCCTGACATCCATGAAAAATATATTGTTTTGTTTCAAACTTTTGATATAAAATCACAAAAAGATAAACCATCATTAAAAAGTCTGCAGTTCTACAGTATCAGTTACAACTTGTAAATTTCTAATCTACAGGTAAAATCTATATTAAATAGATACTGTAAAAACATACATTTTTGTGGGGGATTTATTTTCAGTGTTTTCAGAGGTACTCTTAATCCATGGATGCATAAGTCCATCAACCTTCAAAACAAGTACAGGTAGATTAATTCAGCTTTGCTTATACACAAAATTAAATGTTGATAGAATATTAAAAAAAAAAATAAAAAAAAAATTTAAACACGAAAATTCCAGCCCCAGGAAAAATCTATGATTTTACAATAGATATGATAAGCTACCTTTAATACATTGTAACAAATCTCAGTTATACATGTATGATAAACCATCACTGTAATGTCGACAAAATATATTTCTCAAACAATAACACTATGGAATGATAGTTCACAACCGTTCATAGAGGCCAAATTTCTATCTAATAGCGATGAAAGAAAATCCAAGGAGCAAACTATCCCAGTGGAAAGTAAAATTAAAGTTCTTTATACTGTTCTAATTTTTTTAAATGATAAAAGAAATGAGACCATATTCTAATTATCTGGCTTTGCTGAAAATAAATAAAACGAAACAAGTATAAAGAATCAATGTATTTTCATCATAAAAACCCTAAAACATTTTCTACAAAGCAAAATAGGTATTACGTTATATATAAGAAGCAGATGGATAATACTGATAATGTGTTAAACATTTAAGGCGTATTTTGTAAAACTATTCATACGAAGACTAAGCTGAAACCATAGCTACGTCTCTCCCAGAGTTCTACACAGGAAGTTCCAGTGTCTGGTCATACTTTCAACAAACAAGTGTTCAGTGATTATTGTAAATCCAGAGACAAATATTCCTTGTTTTTATATTTATCAGACAATACAAGTTAATTTGTAACAAGTCCTGAACATGAAAAATTGTAATTCATCAAAGCCTAACAGAAAATTAAATTGAATTTATTTCTGAAATCCCAGATTGTTGTTGTGACATAATTCTGATACAGACACAACACATCCAGATAACTCAAACATGCTGGCACATTTAGTCTGACTAGAAGAATTGGTTTAGCAGAACTTATGTACAGCCATTAACTTTAGGGGTTTTTCTGATGGTAAACATTTAGTATGGATTAACGTGCTTCACCAACACATTCTCTTTCAAACCATCCAAAACATACCACAAATTGGTAACATTAAAAAGAAGAATTTGGGTTATTATTTCTTTAGGCCAAAATATTTGCAATCCTTCAGTAATTGAACAAGATTTTTTTCAGCGGAGTCAATTACACTATTTCCAAAATTTTAAAGAGTCCCAATACCAAGAAATGTAAAGGATCCTCAAAACTTTAAGAAAATCCTGAGTCCAAGACTCAAAATATCTTCATCTCAAAAATCACTTTCTTTGTTTCCTGCCTTTTAGATGTACAAATTCTAATTATAATAATATATCATTGTTACAGCATGAGAAAGGACAAGAAGCCATTTAATATATTATTATTTTTACTGGTCATAAACTTCCTCTATTTTTAGCCAACACAATCATAAGATTTGACACTGACATGACAGAATTGTAAAGTAGAGAAGACAAAGAGGAAATGCAAGTTATGATGCTAAGTTTTTACCCAGATTAATAGTAACCTCACCAAAGTAATTAACCAGTAATAAACACGTCATTGGCCGTTATTAATAGTTGAAAATCTTTTGACAATCGCATCTGATCTTTGAGTGATTTTGAAATTTCATTTTTCTCCCAAACTGAAATACCTGAAGATACATTTCAATACATGGTTTTATTTCTTCTCTAAATCTTTTCTTACAATGTATTTTATATGCAATGCCCAGTTGGACACTTATCTTAAAAAAATGATTTTCAAATAATTTTTCATATAATGTAATAAAATTTCCTTATTTACAACACAGAAAGATACACCATTATCTAGGAATTATAATCAAGGGAGATAATCCAGGGGCAGACAACTGTTGGTAACTGATGGTTTGGGGATCACAACATTCAATACAAAAGATGTGGTACTTTTATGTCACATTACAACTGCAAACTTCTTTCTATTCCAGCAGTTTTTACTGTTTTCTCCTTTGATCAAATGATGATTTCTATACGAGATATTTTGGACTTTTCAGAAATCTGAAGCAATAATAATGGAACAAAAGGACAATGTATCAGCATTTTTCCTTGTGATGGTGCAAATCTTTCAATGGTTCATCTTCTTAAATCACACAAAAAGTACATCACCTGTTTTACATACACTTATAACAGCTCTATATAAACCCCACTTGAACAAATAATGGCCGATGTTATCTTTTAATCCTGACAAAATTGATTTTTTTAAAAAAATATTTAACTGGTATCATTAAATAATTTCTTGTAACTATTCTTAGGATAAACATCCATCTACATGAAAACTTGACGTTATAATAAGAAATTCTCATTAAGATATTGTGTGGTCTTCCTGTAACTTATACACAAATATACATCCTGTTGGTGATATACACTTAACACATCCAACCAATGTCCCTATGACATGATAAATGTCTCCCTAATCTATTCAGACACCACTCTTTCTGCTGCACTTCTTTTTTTTCCCAGTAAGTTTGTCTAATCTATATTTCTTCAATTACATTTCTCCTTCATAGAATGGTAGTGCTCAACTTCCTGTATAAGTGGTGCCACATTCTAATACTTCCTATATAGGTGGTGCCACATTCTGAATCTTCCTGTGTAGGTGATACCACATTCTGAAACTTCCTGTATTGGTGATGCCACATTCTGAATCTTTCTGTATTGGTGATGCCACATTCTGAAACTTCCTGTGTAGCTGGTGCCACATTCTGAATTAACAGTGATCCATATCTAAGTGTGTTGACACCACATTTCGGATCACCGCTTCTTCCAATGGTGTCACACTTTTGATTAGTGTTGCTTCCTGTCTGGTTTGTGCAGGATTTACAAACCTTTTACTGCAGGAAATTTCACATGGGTAGCCAACAGATTCCTCATTTAATATGAAGGACATCCTTTCAAGGTGGTTCCAGCCTACTGAACACAGCATTGCTTTTCTTGTTGTAGAAACTTCCCCTCGGACACCACCTGGTCCAACTTCTCTTCATCCTCAATCCTGTTAACAAAAGGTTAAAGGTATTTATTTCTTCCTAACAGGATAATTTTTTTTTAAATTTGTGTACAAATTAGGTCTCAAGAAAATCAAACAATATTTCACTGCATTCATTTGTCCATTCTCGCCTGGTTGTACAGAAAATACCTTGTTTTTACCTGTATAATGTGTGTCAGGTATAGGTTATACACCAAAATGTTTGTAGACCCCAGTGACACCGTTGTTGCTCCAATGCTGAATATCAGACATGGTAGTGTTAAGCCATTATATACAAGTATTGAGAATATTTAATGAGGATGTTTCGTAGTCAAATCAGCTTCTTAGCCATGTAAGTAACTTGTCCTGGTGTTAGTAATAGCATTAGGGCAATCCGTTTGTGGAATTTTAAAGCTGTTTTGTAAATATTGCATGTACCAAGAACCAGGACTATATTTGAGTAGTGTGTGTTGTTAGAATCGATGGTTCTTTTTGTTGAAAATTTAAATATGTTAGAATTTCAGTTGAAGAAACATGGAATTCAATCACACTGGTGAATAATGCTGCATGATTTTTAGGCTGTTTCTGGCATAGTACCTTGCAAAACAGAGTGACACTGAATTTTGATACTGTAATTCTGTTTTAGTTTGAAGTTTATATATTCACCTGTAGGAATATAATTATCTAAATATCAGGAATAGATGGTGAAAATACTGAAGAAAATTTGATAAAAGCTGAGAAATTCATTTGATGTTACATGTTTTAATTGCTGGGTTCATTTAACTCTGTGTAATAACATGGATGTGTTAAATATGTGGAAAGTGAAAGTAAGAATTGGGCTAATTTGACAACAGCAGCAGGAGATAAATTGGCAATAAGGCCTAAGACCAGATGTCACAGAGCTGTGATCCAGTGTCACTGTTCGGTGAGGCAGACATACACAAATAGGACCAATGCTTGCCTGCTTCTGTATCCTCATTCACAGGTAATGAAGCGAAGCCTTACACCAACCCAGCCAGTTTAGAAGTCAAGAAACATTGAGACAGCCAGCAAAATACAAGGATGTGGAAATAACGAGAGAAAGGACAATTTTCCAGTCGTAGCTCTGGCAACATTACCTGTTTAGCTTTAGTATAGAACTGACCTATTACTTCCACCTGAATGACCGACGACTCTTACCTCTGATGCAGAGGACAAGTTAATGGAAGAATGAAAAGATGTGCAGAAAATTGCTTCAGTAACTGGTGAAACCATCAACTTAGAGTTTCAGATGAATGAGTTTGAATGGACGCCCAACATGAAGAAATTATCTTTTCATCACCGAACCATTACGCCTGTGCCAATACGCATTCAGATGTATGGACACTAGGGAAAACAGAAAGCCATTTACATTATCAAATATGGAAACACCAGTCTTATATAGAAGGCCAATTTGATGACTTCATCTAAAGACCATTAGCATACTTATTACCTGAAATTTGTGTAAATAGATAGATTATTGAAGCCGCAAGGCATGCACCAACTATCTACAACAGGTAGAACCAAGCCACTGAAGAAAGGTGGCACAAATTCAGAGTGGCATCAAAAGCATATCAGAACAAACCATAAATTACAATTCTTTCACCGATACACAGTGGTGGCCATTGTTCTCAGAGACAGGGACCTGTGGCCAATGTTCTCAGAGACAAGGACTGGTGGCAAATGTTTCCAGAGACAGGGACTAGTGGCTGTTGTTCTCAGAGACAGGAACTAGTAGCTGTTGGTCTTCAAGATGAATACCAGGGTCATTGTTTTTTGAGATACAGATTGGCAGCCATTTTCCTCTGAGATACAGGTTGGCAGCCATTTTCCTCTGAGATACAGATTGGCAGCCATTTTCCTCTGATATATAGATTGGCAGCCATTTTCCTCCGAGATATAGACTTGTGGCTTTTATTCTTTAGGTACATACTAGTAGTCATTCGTGTTAGAGATACAAACATGTGTGGTTCTTTGAGTTAGACTGGTGGCAATTGTTAGTCGAGTTACAGACTGGTGGCCTTTGTATTAAGGTACACACTGGTAGCCATTGTTTTAAGGTACACACTGGTGGCCTTTGTTTAAAGGTACACACTGGTGGCCTTTGTATTAAGGTACACACTGGTGACCATTGTTTAAGGTACACACTGGTAGCCATTGTTTAAAGGTACACTCTGGTGGCCATTGTTTTAAGGTACACACTGGTGACCATTGTTTAAGGTACACACTGGTGACCATTGTTTTAAGGTACACACTGGTGACCATTGTTTAAAGGTACACACTGGTGACCATTGTTTAAGGTACACACTGGTGACCATTGTTTTAAGGTACACACTGGTGACCATTGTTTAAAGGTACACACTGGTGACCATTGTTTAAAGGTACACACTGGTGACCATTGTTTAAGGTACACACTGGTGACCATTGTTTAAGGTACACACTGGTGACCATTGTTTAAAGGTACACTCTGGTGGCCATTGTTTTAAGGTACACACTGGTGGCCATTGTTTTAAGGTACACACTGGTGGTCTTTGTTTTAAGGTACATACTGGTGGCCATTGTTTTAAGGTACACACTGGTGACCATTGTTTTAAGGTACACACTGGTGGCCATTGTTTTAAGGTACACACTGGTGACCATTGTTTTAAGGTACACACTGGTGACCATTGTTTTAAGGTACACACTGGTGACCATTGTTTTAAGGTACACACTGGTGACCATTGTTTAAGGTACATACTGGTGACCATTGTTTTAAGGTACACACTGTACAATGAATAAATATCCACCATCAGGTGCCTGATCAATGTTTTGTTGTCTCTCACTATCCAAACTGTTCTTACCTACTCAAACAGAGAAGTACTTTTATTTACTTTATTCAGTAAATTCAGGAGAAAAAAGTATCAATCTCACTAAACAGCATCATGAATCCATTCTTATTTTAGTTTAAAGGCATTTCATATTCTTCTCATAAATAATTTCTAAATCAATTAAATATGATCTTGACTTCATCAGTAAGGAAAATTCTGGATTTCATAAGTAGAAATTCTTCAAAAATCTAGTGTATTTTTTCATTATAAGCTGCAATTTTTTTCAAATGAGTTAGGTTTTTTCTGTCTAATCGTATTTTGAATGATCAGAATAACTCTCAATAAATAAATGATTATATGCGCATAAATCATTTCCAAACGTTATTAAATGATTGACTGACGATTTTGATAAATGCCTTCCATTGTCTGTTATATCAACAAACTTTCGTCAACATGATGGTAGCCATATGGTAAGATAGGGTGCAGCTTATATTCCGGCACAGCTAATTTGTGAATCAATTAACCAAAAAATTGCTAAAAATTGGCCCTGTGGCCTCTTTACCTGTGCGACTTATAACCTAGAAAATACCGTACAACATTACATGTTCTAAACAAATCTAAACCAGACTGCTTTCTGGAACAAATAATTTTGGTAACGTAAACAATAATATTTAAAACAAATGTTTACTTTGTATTGAATAAACAAACAAATAAATAAATGAATTAATGAAGACTAGAATTGTGAGATACCTTCCTGAACTAAATCATGCACTTTCCTCGTTTATACAAGCCGCTCTCACTTTGCACTTAATGCTAAACTATAGCTTCCATCTGAATCCATAGTAGTACATGTAATGTACTTTGTAAAGAGTGCAATACAACCCAAAAGTCCAGCATCAAAATAAAAAAGTTTTTAATTGGCAATTTACATTTGAACAATCCCAATTACATGTATTTTGATGAAGATGCGAATTTGCTTTAAAATCAAATTGACAAATCTTTTAATCGATAACTAGTAAAAAAATTGTCAGATTAACAATTAAACACACAAATGTTCTCATACAGAAAACGTCTTTTTTCTTTTATTAATGTGATGATGATTTTGGCTATGAATTAACGTGATTTTGAGCTGTCATCTACAACAGCAGCTAACCATAATTATATTGTCATCAGGCCTGCCTTGAAGACAGGAGTTGAGTCCCTGGTGACTTCAAACTTGCCTGTTAAATCTAAGAAGTCTCTGATTCTCTATGACAGGCCTGTACAATGTTATTGGGTACCTAGCTGCGCATAAGAAGATTACATATTTAATTAGTCTCCCTTGAAAGGACAATAGAAGATTAGGTATTAAGCTTTAAAAAGGATTAAATATCAGAAAATTTACAGTTACTGAAAAGCTAGGCTTAAGTTTGATCATAAACCATACAATCTTGTTCGTTTATTTTCAGTTAAAGTAATAAACTTTTAAGAATTTATTTTCCCCATCATGTTAGCAGATAAGATAAATGTAAAAAACAAATTAACTAAATGGTTTTTCTCTTTAAAACAATGTAAAAAAATTCATTATTTTTTCTGTGTTTTTTTTTTGTTTTTGTTAAACAGAAACGAAGTGTTTACATTTGGAGTTGATGTTTGGTGGAATATGTTTAGGTCTGTTGGATGTTTGGTGTGCAATATTTATATCTTTTATGTGTCAGGTTCAACATATCTCTGACCTTTCTTATTCAACATCTTTGTTTAGTACATACAATCTAGGTCTGTTTGAGGTTTAAAACAAAACATCTTTTTTCTGTTAGATTTTTGGTACATAACATCAAGTTCTGTTGGAGGTTTGATACACATCATCTTTGTCTCTTTGATGTTTTGCACACAACATCTATCTGTTTGATGTTTGATGTTAAAAGCTATGTCTTAGATGTTTGGTACACAACATCAAGGTCTATTGGATGTTATAGAAACATTTGGACAAAGAACTTGACCAAGATGAGTCCACTTCCTCATCAACATAAACAATTTTCCCATTTTTTTCTAAAGGAAATATTCTTCAGAAAAGTTAATTTTTTTTTAAAAACTTTTGATTTTCTTAAGCAATATTTGGTAACTCCCTTGCAAAATAAAAGTGAACATCCCAAGGACCAACCCCGGACCAGTTGATCCAACCCCCGACCAGTTGATCCAAGTCTCCCATTTTGTTTTGTTCTTTTTATGGCCATTTTCCATTGAGATACAAAATGGATTCCACTTAGTGTGGTGATAGATTACAGATAGCTGAAACACGAACCAGGTATTTCATTTGTAAAGGAGCTTAGTGCAGTAATTACATAGAGGAAACTTGTGGTATGAAAATGAGCCGGGCAGCACGAGACTTAACTCGCACGGAAGCATCAATGGACAATATCACGAAACCCTGGCAGAAGTAACAAGATCACCTTGTCAGGCTGATAAGGTATGAGTGCACTGGAGCATACCAAGATTAAACAAAACAAAAAATAAAAAATGTTCTTCAAAATTAATCTTGTAAAAAACTTTTTTAAATATGAATCTTACACATGTAGAGAAGAAGAAAGGAAAGAGAAATGAAACTCAGATGGGAGTCAATAAATGACAAAGGTATGCATTAGCGAGTAAATAAATGATAAAGTTATGCATGACCGAGTCAATAAATGATAAAGTTATGCATGACCGAGTCAATAAATGATAAAGGTATGAATCAGTGAGTCAATAAATGATAAAGGTATGAATTAGTGAGTCAATAAATGATAGAGGTACATATTTAGTATTATTATAAATTGAGATATTTTGGATGTGGGTAAGTTTTCGCTTAATTTGCACCTGACTTGAGAGCGCCAAAATTAAACTCAATTTAATTAAAACAATTTTAGAACATTAATAGCACATTTTTCACATGGAATGTTCTCTGACTGAATGTTTAACTCCTAGGAGCTAAACAGCCCGTATCATAGATATGACATCAATGTTTTACTCCTAGGAGCTAAACAGCCTGTATCACAGATATAATATCAATATTTAACTCCTAGGAGTTAAACAGTCTGTATCATAGATATAATATCAATGTTTTACTCCTAGGAGCTAAACAGCCTGTATCATAGATATGACATCAATGTTTAACTCCTAGGAGCTAAACAGCCTGTATCATAGATATAACATCAATGTTTAACTCCTAGGAGTTAAACAGTCTGTATCATAGATATAATATCAATGTTTTACTCCTCAGAGTTAAACTGTCTGTATCATTGTTATAACAAAGTGGTTACTTTCTGTTATCAAAATGTGTTGTTTTGTTTAAATATCCTTCAATTAAGGTACAACTTTCTGCTTGAATGATTCCTACAAATGATATTTATTTTAGATATGAATGTACAAACAAGAACAACAATCATCACCTATGTGTGTAAGTCCACAAGACTTTGATCAATTCTATGACCAATCAGTCGATATGGTCAAAACACAGAATTGAACAAAATTGGTGATACCTTCTACAGGCATTAAAATATTCAATAGGGATTGCAAATTTTAAAACAGAATCATACTTGCAGTTGAAATAAATCAAGTTGTAGAAGGGGCTATCAATAAAATATGTATATATAAATTATATTCCGAAATCTGACATAAAGAAAAACATCATTTCCGAGGTCCCAAATTTGGACAAAAAAAAGCAAACAATTTTCCTGACCCCAAAATATCAACTTACAGTAGAGAAAGAGAGATAGGAAATAGACCTGCATAGGAAGTGGAGGAAATAGGTGACAGAAAAAGTGACAAAATTATAAAGATTTGGTGAAGAGAAAAGACAAGGAGAAAAAAAGATGACAGGAATGTGATTCTGTATTGGGAAAAAAAGAGAAGTAAGGAGGTAGAAAGAAAATGGCTGAGAGGAAGAAACAGACGACAGTAAGGTGAAAGAGTGAGGAGGGAGGTATAAGGATAGAAGACAGTAATGTGGAGGAGTGAGGAGGGAGGTATAAGGAGGATAATAGGGAAACTTACGCTCTTTCTTGTGTGTCAAGATGCTGAACAAGTTCATCCCGTTTGTTAACAATGGCGACCAGTTCCTCTAACAGTAACTTTTCTCTGTGTTTCTGTGCCTGGGTCTTCTGCCAATCTGAAATCACACAATAATATTCTGCTGATACCAACAAACTCCTTATCATGATATAAGTAGTATCATCAGTTTACGATTAAATGAAAATGATGATCAGATTTTAACTTACTGCCAGACAGCGTTACACAGATGTCTTTATCCCAACAAAATGAAATACAGAGATCATCATTAATCAGGATTGAAACAGTATCTGATAGAAGGGTCCGATAACCCTTTTTTATATAATATTGAGACAATAATGAATTATCAATGAATGAGAAATTTTACAGATGAGAGACAGATGAGAGACCAATATATTTTCCATAGTTATAATATCTATCAGCAGAGATATGTGTAATCATAATATTGTTTACATGTAATGTGCTTTTGCTAAGAAGAACCATTTTCTGCCTCAAAACTTAACTTCATACCAACACTTTAACATAGACATTCTTCATTATAGAGACCCTTTATCATAGTGACTCTTTATCATACTGACTCCTTATCATTGTGACTCTTTATCATACTGACTCTTAACCATACTGACCCTTTATCATACTGACTCCTTATCATTGTGACTCTTTATCATACTGACTCTTTACCATACTGACCCTTTATCATACTGACTCCTTATCATTGTGACTCTTTATCATACTGACTCTTTACCATACTGACCCTTTATCATAGTGACTCTTTATCATTGTGACTCTTTATAATAGAGACCCTTTATCATAGTGACCCTTTATCATAGTGACTCTTTATCATTGTGACTCTTTATAATAGAGACCCTTTATCATAGTGACTCTTTATCATACTGACTCTTTATAATAGAGACCCTTTATCATAGTGACTCTTTATCATTGTGACTCTTTATAATAGAGACCCTTTATCATAGTGACATAGTGACTCTTTATCATAGTGACTCTTTATCATTGTGACTCTTTATCATACTGACTCTTTATCATACTGACTCTTTATCATAGTGACTCTTAATAATAGAGACTCTTTATCACAGTGACTCTTTATAATAGAGACTTTTTATCATAGTGACTCTTTATCATAACCTCTCTTTAACATAGTGACAGTTTATCATAGTGACTCTTTTAACTCCATGTAGGTCGCCTTAACAAAAGGAAGGACATTTTTTTTATTGATTCATCATTAAAATTTAGGAATGTATATCAAATAGTGTTTTTAGAAGTCTAAGGAATAGAAATCTAAGATTGTACAAACTGACCACTCCACACAAAAGGACTGACCATAATGACCATAATGATTATTTTGGCCAAGAGAGAGACAACAGTAAATAGAGGTGGGTCAATTATAGGTGTAAGTTTAACACCACGTCAGTGTAGTGGGGAACTCTTACAAAAACATAAACAAATAACCCAGGTACCTACTCAAATACCTGTACAAATAACCGGATCAACACCAAAAACACCTGCTCTAATATAAATAGATAAACCAGGAAAAATATATCACCTTTCTCTGTCAAATAAATATTTATTTAACACCTCTAATTTATTTTTATCTTATTTACAAACAAAAACAAACTTGGCTTGACTAGGAGGGGTGATTAACACAGGCAGTGTCTTAGTACACAAACAATGGCCGTCGTCAAACACGACTCACAATACCCTTATACCATCAATATCAATTTAGGCAGCTAATAGTCTCATTAAACTCTCACCAAAACACATTTACACATGTCCTAAGTCCATAATCATACAATTTAGTTACGTCTAAAGAATCTGTCACATGGTCATGCATGAATGATTTTGAGTCCCGGAAACGTTTATTCCATCTTGATTTTTTTTCTGCTTTTATTTGTGCAATTTGTTTTGGAGACAATCACTGGATTGCCTTTTAGCAACCTCACCATCATAATGTTTTGTATCTCTAATACGTACATCAAATTAACTTCTTGTGTGTTTAAAGGCGAATAATACTTAATTGGATTTGTGGTACTTTCTGTGTAAGACGGTTTTAAGATGTCCACACATGGAAAGCGACAATTAAATAAGCTAGAAAGCCACACAGCCTATCAATCACACCCTAAATCTTGTAGATTATGTAAATACAGACTGATATCAATTCTATGTCGTCAGAATTCCCAACCCACCCAACCATACTGCCTCGTTCACATTTGACAGGGGGCAAAGACAAAAAAATGCACGTCCATTTCATAAACAGGCGTACAGTTTTTTAAGCATAAAATTTATTCAATAACATTCTAAATGAAACAACCATCGTCTTGGTATGAAACATTTCATATCCTGGATCTAACAATCCCCTAACAATAAACCGATGGTTGACGTGTCACATTGCAGTTTAATCAGTTAGAAAAAATAGCTTTTCATCTCTTGACAATAGAACTTTGGAGTACAGCCCTTTATACCCTTGCTGATTCTCCTCCCTCAAAGAAAATAAACTGGAATAAAATTGGATAAAAGAATAGATGTTTTCTCCTTTTAACTATTGGCATATCTGAATAATATGTAACAAGGGAACATCAATGAACAACACGTTCCCAGACATTGATACCGTCACCACAAAAGTTAGTGGTAACATGTTCCCTTAGAGAACAGGAACATTGAAGAGTAGCGCTAATTTTACAACACCAACCCAGACATTGATACCGTCACCACAAAAGTTAGTGGTAACATGTTCCCTTAGAGAACAGGAACATTGAAGAGTAGCGCTAATTTTACAACACCAACCCAGACATTGATACCGTCACCACACAAGTTAGTGGTAACATGTTCCCTTAGAGAACAGGAACATTGAAGAGTAGCGCTAATTTTACAACACCAACCCAGACATTGATACCGTCACCACAAAAGTTAGTGGTAACATGTTCCCTTAGAGAACAGGAACATTGAAGAGTAGCGCTAATTTTACAACACCAACCCAGACATTGATACCGTCACCACACAAGTTAGTGGTAACATGTTCCCTTAGAGAACAGGAACATTGAAGAGTAGCGCTAATTTTACAACACCAACCCAGACATTGATACCGTCACCACAAAAGTTAGTGGTAATATGTTCCCTTAGAGAACAGGAACATTGAAGAGTAGCACTAATTTTACCACACAAGTTCACCACACAAGTTAGTGGTAACATGTTCCCTTAGAGAACAGGAACATTGGCTAATTTTACAACACCAACCCAGACATTGATACCGTCACCACAAAAGTTAGTGGTAATATGTTCCCTTAGAGAACAGGAACATTGAAGAGTAGCGCTAATTTTACAACACCAACCCAGATATTGATACCATCACCACACAAGTTAGTGGTAACATGTTCCCTTTGAGAACAAGATTCTTGGTAAAAGTTGTTTATAAGCGACAAGGTTGATAGATATGATACACTGGTGTTGGTGATCAGATCCTTACAGTAAGTCTATTGAAATCACAATATTTTGATGTCTATTTCTAGCCATTCTGTAATACCAGAATGTTCAATGATGAATTTTTCTAAACTTGATTTTTTCTTTCCATGGAGTACATTAACAGAACTTCTTTTGATAATTAAATATTTGATTTAAATGTCTGTAATTGATTTTTTTTGTAGATCTCATAATTATCACTTGTTGCATGTAGAATGTTTTCAGCAAGTATAATTCATAATAATGTTTTTTTTAATTATTGTATTTCACTGTTGAAATAAATACTTATTTAGAGTTGATACTAATATCACATGTGAAAACCCAATACTTTTAAAACTGAATCTGTCCAGACAATTAGACCAAGAAAAAACATTACACAAAGACTTGTGATTTTATGGTCTAACAGAGCTATAAGTCTCTAACACAACACCACAAGTTGTATCATTTCAATTATAATCTATTAAATGTGTTTCTCGTTGTTCATTCAGCTTGAGGAGGTATCAACTAATTGATTTTCATAAAGAAAAATTGATATCAGTATGTCTTCGATTAATTTGTTGAAATTAACTTTGATGTAACATATCATTGTAAACCTGGGTCAATACTCATATTCTCTCTTTGGTAGTTTTAAAGTAAAAAAAAAAAAAAAGGAAAGAAAATTAAACATTTTTTTTCTTACTCAATGGAATTACAATTGAAGGAGCAGTATTGAATTTCGCTCTTCCTAAATCTGAAATAACTTTCTCATTTTTATTTATGATTGATAAAAATAGATATTTTCTAAATAAGGATGAAATGTTGATTTTTGCTCACTAAAAAATATAAAAGACACCAACATCGCATGTATACATGTGACAACTAAGTAATGAATATAAAGAACAAAATTGTGCTAATTTTCTCCGAATTCTTATCAAGGTATTTGATATTTGGCGTAAAATTAAATCAATTCTCAAATACCATGAATCATTAAAAAGATATAAACAAAAAGCTAGTTTATCGTGTCAGTATCCTCGACATCAGCAGGGAATACTACCAGTAATTTACAAAGTAAAATTTACTTTTATTTAAGGACTTAAAATCACATTTTGTAAACAATCAATTTAAGTTCAACGACTCTGTATGAATACATTATGTCTTCAGAACAGCTATCCATGGATCTGTGTTTCCTGAACGAGAAATTGAATGATTGGGTGTTTTGAGTTAGAGTTTCCTTGAATTAATAGGCGTTTAACCTCAGTGATAATTGCGGCAGAGGAGGGAACATGAAGTGTTGGACATTTCCGCAGTAACCAAACAGTGATGTGTGATCAGATGATGGATTAGTGTTAAGATTGTCACCTCTCTCCCTGCAGGTGTTAGACTCGGCATTAATCTGTGTACATATCCCCGGTGACAATTCCCCGAGAGAGGAGGTCTAGGAAGGGCTTGGTAGGCGGAACCATCCCTTGTTAATGGGCAAACACGTGCCATACTATCACGCCTCCCCTTCCCATTGTCTGATCAAAACTTTCCAGTGGATAGGTTTTCATGTTGATGGGTAAAGATGTAACTTGACTCGGTGGCTCACTGAGGTGGCCATTGTGATCAGGTGGCTGTGCCGCTCGTCGGACGGGTGGCGAGCACTCTCAC